TGCTCCATAGGCCTTTTTGAGTATTTTCCGCAATCTTTCATCGTATTGCTCATCTTTTTTAACCATCTTGCTCTCCACTCTTGGGTTGGTTTTCAGGCATAAAAATGGAAGATTGCGAACTTGCAGAACATGATTTGGTGATTGAAACCGTGGTTGCTCTGCCGTGAGCTCAGCAGGAAAACTGAATCCTATTTCATGTTCTCCTATTTTTGGTGCTGTGTATAGAGAGTTTCCTCCATAGCGATGCGTTTTCTATAGTCCTCGGACACATTAACAGTTTTTCAAATCGACTTTTTCGGTTCGGTTTGAATCAAATTAATTCGGTTTATCTGAATTGAACCAAGTCCAAACGTGCATGAGTATCTTACACTTCCTTCATAGAGAGGCTTTTTCGAGAAAACACTGTTGATAAATACAAGCATTCATGAGGGATAAATGCACTTTAACCGACCGGTATAATTGTCTCTGCTCCTAAATTAGTTTTAAACCGAAGGCATATGCAATCTGGCCAGTGGATTTTGTTCCTTAAGAAAAAGATAGATAAAAAAATAACTGTCAGTTTCCTCCTCGAAATGTGAGAATTTCGGCCACAGTCTACTTAACAAACGCACTGGCCAATGGGCAATGGCCATGCCTTTGGTTTCATTATCTTTTGCTTCTTCTTCTTCAAGAGCCATGGCTTTGTGCTCTATCTTCTGCCCTCGTATCCCTCTTCGATTCAGGCCAAAACCTATTTCCTCTTTTCTCTCAAAACCTCAAATTTGTCTCTCTTATAGGGTTTACTCTTCCCTGCAATCTACTACTCCCTCTACCAAAGGTAATTTCTTGCTTTGGTTTTCAATTGTCACTTGCATCGTTTTCCAGAACCATGAATTGTCTTTAAATGGAGGAAATTGTCAAGTGTCGCTCTCTTTTTGGGACAAAAACCACAACTTTCGAGAAAGATGATCAAATACTAGAATCTCCATTATCTGTTTATCCTTTTTTATCTGAGGAATTGTGGTTTGTATCACAGATGAACTTGGAACTGTTAGCATTGGGTTTCTTGGTATGGGAATCATGGGTTCTCCAATGGCACAAAACCTCATCAAAGCTGGGTATAAAAAGATTTTGACTTTTATGTGTAGACTATCTAATTCACATCAATTTTGCTACTTTTACCTCTTTTTGATGTTTTATTGATAAGTACGTTGATCTTTCTGAGCTTGTTAGGTGTGATGTGACTGTATGGAATCGAACTAAGAGCAAATGTGATCCTCTCGTTGGATTAGGAGCAAAGTAAGAGTTCCAATGCTTCTTATAAAGATTATTCTGAAAAACCTCTGATTAAGAAAGTTTCTTCTGTTTTAGAGCTAACGTATAAGAAAAACCTCTGATTAAGAAAAGTTTCTTCTGTTTTGCAGGTACAAGTCTTCTCCTGAAGAAGTGACTGCAACTTGTGATCTCACATTTGCAATGCTTGCTGATCCTGAAAGTGCAGTGCGTATGTCTCACTTTTGTTTGCATCTCCTCTTCTTCTTCTCTCACTCCATATTAAAACAGAAACTGTATTTTGCTTTCTGTCAGATTGATGTTGCCTGTGGAAAGAATGGAGCCGTATTTGGAATTAGTTCAGGAAAAGGGTACCTACTCCTTCATGAGATCTATGTTGGAATTAATGTTCTTGTGTTGAAATGTTTCAAGATATCTGTACTTTTTGTGTAACTACAGCAGAATTCACAGTCGTTCTTTTTCTATTTCTTCTTCGAATCAATATAGTAATTTGGTGGATACTTTCTGGTAAAAATGGGACTTGCCTTGCTAGTGCAGGTATGTTGATGTCTCAACCGTTGATGCTGCCTCATCGATTCTAATCAGCAAGCAAATAAAGGATACCGGAGCATTGTTCTTGGAGGTAAAGACTCTTTATTAAATCTATTTTTAGAATCACTGAGAAAACTTGTAGCAGATCGGGTGGCTCAAGTCAATTCTATTTTTGATATTCACAGGCACCAGTTTCAGGTTCCAAAAAGCCTGCCGAAGATGGGCAGTTAATATTCCTCACAGCAGGTTCGTAACAGCTTACTCTCCTCATTGAGCTTGTATTAATAATCTACCATCACTTAATACATATCAGATTATTTTCGCTTCACGGGTGAGTTGCTTGTATTTTGTAACATGGTTGAATGAAAAGGAGATTTATGATTATCTGGCACTTGACATTTCAGGTGACAAGCCGCTATACGAAAAAGCTGCTCCTTTCTTAGACATCATGGGAAAGGTGTCTCTTTTGCCTGTGTTTTGCTTTTAGTTCATTTTTCTTCTGTAAAATAAACCATTTTCATTACTAACTTGCATTATATGATCCAGTCAAGATTCTATTTGGGTGAAGTTGGTAATGGAGCAGCAATGAAACTTGTTGTCAACATGATCATGGGAAGGTATCATTTGACCATCTATGGCTTCATTTCTTGGCAAATCCCAGATTCTTCTCCTGATCTCTTTTCTCATACTTATGCAGCATGATGGCATCATTCGCGGAGGGAATACTTCTAAGCCAGAAAGTTGGACTCGATCCAAATGTACTGGTCGAGGTAATCAAAACACCATTGTCCAGCAGAAATATTCTTACCAAATCTGCTATAAACCCCGGGAAAAAAATTCCGCAGGTTGTCTCACAGGGAGCTATCAATGCGCCAATGTACTCGCTAAAGGGTCCTTCAATGATCAAGTCAGTGTACCCGACGGCTTTTCCATTAAAGCACCAGCAGAAGGTTTGTGTAATTGTGTTAGTTTCTTGTTTAGATCCTCACAAAGACTCTCGAGTTTGATGAGACTGTAAACGATTTTTATGCGTGTATAGGATATGAGACTCGCACTTGGACTAGCGGAATCCGTATCTCAATCTACACCGATTGCAGCTGCTGCGAACGAGCTTTACAAGGTTGCAAAATCTTATGGGTTGAGCGATGAAGATTTCTCTGCAGTAATTGAAGCACTGAAAGCTGCAAAATCCCGAGACTAAAGATTTGTTTATTTTTTCTCTGTTCAATCATCAATGTGAAAGTGTGTTTTATTTTTTTGGTATGAAGATTTCATCTTTTACAACAAACTGTCAATTGGCAATTGTTAATATGAGAACCAGTTAAAAGTGTCAAATACAAGTCAACCTTTGATCTCCTGATGTTGACAAAAGCAACAAGAAAACTGTTTGACCAACGTTGACTACAATAATACGGCGCCGTTTCATATATTCTGATGATAAGTTGATAATACCGAATCTTGTTTCAAAAATTTCTCAGTGCCTTAAGTGTTAAAATTCTCGCCTGAGCTCGTTGCCGTTTCGACTTCAGCCATCTTGGTTAGGGTTCTTTCTATTGCAAGTTAAGAAATTTTGAATGTTTGATGCCATAACTTTGAATCAAGTAATCGAATTGGAGAAAAAAGTTTCATTTTTGAAGTTTGGGTTTTCACTTGCTTCATCATCTGTAGACGGAAAAATTAAAGGTTTTGGTTTTGATTCAGCTGCAGTGATCCATGGATTATAACTCAGATCGTGGTTATGATGACTCTGAACAATTACAACCATCGGATTATGAAGTGGAGACCTTTGATAACCGGAGGAACGGTGGTGCAGCCGTTGATACTGGTGGGATTCAGATGAAGCATTCCATTGAGCATCGTCATTCGTCTTCGTCCATGTCTTCTCCTGGGTTCGTGGTTTCTTAGGGTTTACTTTTGATATTGATGGAGACATGTTTCTTATGGTGCCTTTTGTCTTTGTTTATGTTAGGAAACTATTCGTAGGTGGAGTTTCTTGGGAAACAACTGAAGGTATGAATGATTCATTTTCATCGTCTTAGTCATGTATGCCATTTATGTCTTGAATTGAGCTGCATCACAGATGATATGTCTTTTATCTTGTATCTAGTTTAGTAATTCCCTTGTCTTATACTGTAATGAGCAATAGACGAGTCAAGTCATTGTGATTCTGTTTTTGGTTAGTTTTTCTTATGTGTGTTGATTCCATTGCTTCCACTTTACTGTTTTCAGAAACTTTTGCAAATTACTTTGGAAAGTTTGGAGAAGTTGTCGACTCTGTAATCATGACAGATAGAATAACTGGAAATCCAAGGGGATTTGGGTTTGTCACTTTTGCTGATTCAGCTGTCGCAGAGAAAGTTTTGGAGGAAGAGCATGTTATAGATGACCGGAAGGTAGATATCATTAATTAGTTTCTATGGGGTAAATCATTTGCCCTGCTTTTGTTTAGCAGTTGGATGCTTTGGTTAATTCCTTTTAAATGTTAGGTTGATCTGAAAAGAACAGTTCCTAGAGGGGACAGGGATACCGATATCAAAGCGGTATCAAAGACCAGGAAAATCTTTGTTGGTGGACTTCCACCACTTTTGGAAGAAGGTAAAAGCTTCTCCTAGGATTTCTGGTCTTGTCTGTGGTTATTTACTTATTACTATTACTGATAATGTGTCTTTTCATATATGTAGATGAACTGAAAAATTATTTCTGTGTATATGGTGACATAATTGAGCATCAGATCATGTATGACCACCACACGGGAAGGTCAAGGGGATTTGGTTTTGTAACCTTTCAGACTGAAGATTCTGTCGACAGACTTTTCTCTGATGGAAAAGTTCACGAGCTCGGTGACAAACAGGCAAACTTCGTTTTACTTTTGTCTTAGAATTTAAGCTAAAGTAATACTCAATGTAGTGATCTCAAGCACTTACAATGGATCAATAGGTGGACATAAAAAGGGCCGAACCAAAGAGAACCGGGAGAGATAACAGCTTTCGATCCTATGGTGCTAGTGGCAAGTATGATCAGGAAGATTGTTATGGTGGGAGAGCTAATGAAGATTACAATATGTATTCGGGTTATGGTGGTTATGGCGGTTATGGAGCCTACCCAGGGAATTCCATGGTTAACGCTGCTGGATTTTATGGTTACGGTGGTGGGTATGGCTATGGTTATGGCTATGGAGGTCAAATGTTCAACATGGGCTATGGAGCTGGCGTTTATAGCCATATGGGTGGTGGCTATGGTGTTGCTGCGGCTGCTGCTTATGGAGGTGGAAAAGCTCATGGAAACGGAAACAGCGGCTCAAGTAGTGGCAAAGGAAATGGGACTAATGGTTCTGGGCCAGCTCGATATCATCCTTATCAAAAGTAAGAACGTCCGGCTCTTGCAAAGACTCTTCTTTTTGTAAAAAGATGTTTTTTTTTTGTTTCTTTATAGTTTTAAGAAACGGTTAAGTTAAGAAATAGTTTGGGATGCTTCACCAATTCTTCACATTCAACGGTTGTGAGAGTGACCTGTTTGAAAAAAAGTTTTTTCGACAAACGTGTTATTTAGGGCAAAACATTATGATTTTTATTGAAATTCTTTCGTAAAGTTCGTATGTATGATTATTATTAAACTTAGACAATTCTAGTAGAATCTCAACGAGATATCGTTACCCACACTGTGGCAAAGGTGTTAAAACTTAAAAGGATTATGTTGTGTGTCGTCATCAGTGCCAGATTGAGCGTTCCAATGCTAAAACTCTTGGTTCTAGAGCAGCTCGACATTGGTTGGTCTCTAGCTCAGGAGAGACAAGAGCTTTCCTTTGCCTACTACCATCAATTTGAACATCGAAGATGACGCCGTGGATTATTAGAACCTGTAACATCAAGATATGCAGCAGAGTCTGGTTATGGATTGTTCATGACTAACACTCTTCTAATTTGAAGATTGATATTGGTTAATGCTAGTTTGAATGGTCAGAAGCAAGCTTACCTGATAGGTTCTATAAGTTTGGTTTTTGTTTGTTGTGCATCATCTCAGTCTGTGGGATATACTCATCTCTTACGCTGTCCATAAGTCTAGATCATCCTCGTCATTGTTCCCATCATGTGTAGGGCCTTTTTTCAACATATGACTAACCAAATCCTCAAGAACCGGGTAGATGCTCACAAACTCGCTCTGTACTATTGATCCTGACGAGAATTTGTAGATTTTCTTCTTCAATTCAATCCAACTGCTTCCAGAAACTTTCTTCAAATCCTTTTTCTTGGCTAAAGCCCTAACCTTTGCAGATTCTTCCCATCTTCCACCAGCAGAGTAGATGTTAGAAAGCAACATATAGCTGCCTGTCCTCTCCGGTTCTAGAACCCTAAGTTGTGATGCTATATTCTCTGCAATGTCCATGTTTTTATGCATCCGGCAAGAATTTAACAGAGCTCCCAACACACAGACCTTAGGCTCCATAGGCATGTTCTTCACAATCTCACTCGCTTCTTTCAGAAACCCTACACGACCAAGGAGATCAACAATACATGCATAGTGCTCTTGTTGAGGCTCTAATCCAAATCTCTTGCTCATCGAATAGAAAATTTCGCGTCCCTTTTCAACCAGCCCTGCATGACTACAGGCTGAAAGAACAGCTACCAAAGCGATCCCATCAGGATGACACCCAGATTTTATCATTCGATCGAACATACTTAGAGCTTTCTCACCAAACCCATGCATACCATAACCTTTGATTATCGAGTTCCATGAGATCAAATCCTTATCCCTAATTGCTTCAAATACTAGACTCCCCTCACTGAGTAACCCACATTTTGTGTACATATTCACCAATGCATTCTGAACTAGAATGTTATCGCTCATTGAGGTCCGTATCACATGCCCATGGATTTCCCTTCCGAGATTCAAAGCTGGAAGCTCCGCACAAATTGATAATATACAACAAATCGTCACTGAATTAGACAATACTTTGGAAAATTGCATTCGCCGGAAATATTCAAGTGAATCGTCTCCTCTTCCTTGGACGTTACAACCCTTGATAACAGAGGTCCAGGTAACTACGTTAGCCTCGACATTACAAACATCATCCATTTCCTCCAACTCAGTAAACAATGAAAGAGCCTCGTCGAGTTTACCAGCATCCACAAACGATGTTATCAAAGAATTCCAGCTCTCTATACCTTTGTTTCTTATTTGCTGGAACAACTGTTCTGCATCTTTAACTTTCCCTTGCTTCCCGTACACGTGTATCAATGCGTTCCTCGAGGGCAAACACTCTTCAAACCCACCTTTTATAACATACCCATGAACTTTTTCAGCGATACTTAATTCTCCTAATTCAGCACAGACAGAGAAGAAAACAGCAAGAGCTTCGCCACTAACTGAACTTCCACTCATCCTCATAACATGAAAATACTTTATAACATCTTCAAACTTCCCACACTGCGAATGACAAGATAAAACTGAAGTCCACGTCACTTCATCTGGTTTAAAATCTTCACGTTGCATCCATTCAAAAATCTCAACAGCACTTTCACAATCATACTCTTGAGAAAAACCTTTCATCATGACATTCCACGACATACGGTTTCTCACAGGCATTTCAACAAACAGATTGTAAGCATCTCCTATCCTTCCCGCTTTTGGATACAACGTAAGCAATTCGTTAACCACATGAAGATTCTCTTTTAAACCAATCTGAATAATTTGACTATGAAAAGCCCTACACAAACCAAAACGACTTAAGTACCTACAAGCTCGAAGGATCAAGGGTAGAATATACCCGTCCCCTGTGAGACCTCGTTCACGCATTCGCCTGTAAAGCTCAAGAGCAATCTCGTATAACCCATGAGACACATTAGCTTTTAGAATCGAGTTCCACAGACGCAAATCCGACCAGAGAACAAGCGACACAGTGTCAAACACGTTACGGGCATCGAGAAGGAGTCCTAACCGAGAGTAAACCGATACGAAATTCGCAGCTAATGACCCAGAACAGTAGATGAAATCGGATACAAGTACTTGGGCGTGAACTTGCTTGCATTGTTGAGCCGTCGAGCATAATCCAAGAAGATGTTGGAAGTAATGGAAGAGGGATTGATCATTGTTAGTCGCAAGGGAGTAGTACGAGGAAACTGAAGCGATATTGGGAGGAGAAGTCGATGTGTATTGACATTGACAAGTGTGGAAAAAACAGTAACGAAGACGCCAAGGGGTTTGTTGAAGACGAAATCGCCAAAGAGAAGCGTGAACCATTGAGTAGAAGAGGGAAAAAAAAACAGAAACTTCAAAAGCTGTTTACTTTGAAGCTATTTTTTAATATTAAAAATAGGTTAAACGCTGTTAATCGATACATTTAAGGGAGGTTAATAGTATTTATTGTATGTTTACAATTAAGAAAAAAATGAATGAAATTATGTTTTACAACAAAAAAAATTCGGACCAAGAGGTTTTGTCAGAGACTAAAAAAGTCAAGTTGGACACATAATAACTTGTGGTCTGGGTGGTCACATGTTTTTTCTTTGGTTCTGTAACATTATCATTTTGATTCTAATCACTTACCGACCCCATTGACATTAAGTTATATGTAGAAATAAGATTTGAATAAGCATACATTTGATTTTACATTTTAGAGTTATCTAGCTACATTTCGGACAAAAAAAAAAAAAAGAGTTATCTAGCTACCTAATACTGTCGTTTTTGGGCTCACGGCATTGCCTTTGGATCAAGCTCCATGAATCACTGTCAAAACTGATTTCTTCATAGCTTAGGCTGTCGAGACACGACATGGGCCACATGGCCCAAGTGAAGATAAGTTGCTTTTACGTCCAGACTAGATACTAGATCACAGCTGCTTGCACATAAGTCTTAGCCGCAAACGGCAAACCATTTCACGTTCTCTCATAATCCTATAACTAGGTGTTTATGAATATAAATTTTAAGTTAATTTCATTTTGACACCATAACCATAACACCTAATCTCTTTTTATTTTTTTTGTTGATAATTACATAACACCTGATTTTGAATAATTATAGCTTTGCTTTTTTCTTTTTAAAGTTGAATTCATTTCACCGACACCTTCTAGACATTAAGGGGACGTAACTTCGCACCCACACTTAATTAATTAATTAATCACAAGACCCAAAGATTTTTTGTCACTTGCCAACACACCCGGAGACTAATAACACACGCCAATTATGTAAATCAAATTCGTGGTTCTGTAATAATACACACATGGTTAGCTTAATTATTCGATACTACAACAAAGAAATAAAAGTAGCCACCCTAATTTGTCTATTTAAAGTATAATTGACCAAAGCACTTGTGAGAGTAGTGGTCACCTCACTTGCATTATTACTCTGATTATTATTAGTGATTGATTAGTTAAGTAACAGTTGCGTTTTATTCTCTCTCTTTTTTTTTCGCGCCCTAGATCATCTGTTAATTAAAACTCGAAAATTATAATGAAATGTTGTTCTTGAATAATCACAAACAATGAAATTTCAGACCGAACACAAATATATCTTCATTTACATAAAACCAAAAAATAAAGTCTTACAGGAATCAAAGAACTGTATATGAAATCAAATTAAAAAAGAAACGAAAATTGAAACAAATGGATTAATAAAAAAAAAAGTTGGAAGAAGAAAGAAGAAAACTAAGAATGTGATTCCATTATATGTTTTGTATATTTAGAAAGTAATTTTCCAGATCTTAAATCTTGGATCAACCTTACACTTAGCGGCGGAGGTAGTAGCCGTCGTCGCCTTCTTTCCCGTCGGAGCCACCACTTTAATCCCTTCACAAGTAACCCTAATTCCTGACTTAGGAGTTTTCAGAGATCCCATCTTCACTTTCACCTTCGAATTCAAAACAATCTTAATCGCTACTGCTTTCTTCGCCTTCAGATCTCCTTTAAGCTTACCCGCCGATATCTCATCGAGATCTTCGGGAGGACTTCCGATCGTAGATCTAAGCGTAGTCGTGTTCTTCTTCCCGTGAACAAACGACGAGATCGTTCCTTTACCGATGACTACATCATCATCTCCTCCGGTGGATACTTTGTAGAGTGTGATGTCGGTGGCGTCGTAGCTGAATCCGACGTTTTTGTTAGGGTTTCTGGCGATGACGGAGAGGGAAATGGCGGTGGTGAGGTGAGTAGCGGATGTGAAATTGAGAGTGGAGATTTTGAGTTCAGAGACGGTGAAGCTCGGCCGTTGAGGACGGTAGATTAGGTAAACGACGGCTGATGCGGCGGCGGCGATGAGGATTAAGAGGATGATAACGAAAATCGTCCAGCAGCAGCAACGGCAGCAACATCCACGGCTATGACTACTACGGCGACGACCAGCTGGTGGACGGTAAGCGGGACGATTTGCGTTGTAGAGCTGAGCTTTGTTCGCCGGAAAAGTTGGATTTGTGGTTGCGCCACCTCCGCCGACGATGGCGGGAGGTTTTGATGCAGGGTAAACTCTGTCGTCTGTCATAATCGTAGATTTGAGATTGAGAGAGAAGAAGAAGATTGATTAGAGAGAATAATACTAAGGGTAAGATTTAGGAGATGTGTGTCTTCTTTATAAGAGATTATGATTATTACAGTGGAAATTTAAGCATCTCTTTAATGGGTGATTAGTTTAATAATTAGTGAAAATTAGTGGAGAAGGAGAGAGGAAGCGAAGAGGACCGACACAGAGAGTGACAGCTCAACGCGGAACCAGAGCTTACACGACGCGATCACAACAGCGCGTGTAGAGTAAACGGTGCAAATAAGTCACGAGACTCCAGTTGTTATTTGCTAAGCACTTTTTGGGAGAAAATGTGATAAATATGTTTAATCAATTCATCTTAATTTTGTTCTTATATACCAATTTATTGGTAAAATATTTCCAGTTGGCTAAAAGAAAATTAAAGCTTTGTTTAGAAAAGTTCGAAAACATAATTGATATTTGTGAGCTCAAACGTGAAATCTTGCACCAAACATTTTTCTTTGTATTGAAGCAAAGATAGATGATAATCCCTTTCCAATTTAAAAAAATAGCTGATGTTTAGTCGCTTTCCATTTAAAATCTTGACCTAAACTAGCTAATTTATAGGATCAAGCAATGTTAAAAGAGTGTTATTTGAATATATAAAATTTTGGATTTGTTTAGATAAATGCAAATACGTGAAAGGAAAATAAACTAGACAAAGAAAAGATACTAATAATTTACAGCACAAAAAGCATTTCTCACGTATATGTTTAGAATGGAGCAAATAGAATAACATTGCATATGCATGTGACTGATCTCTTCCTTTAATATTACGATTATGAAATGTAAGAAAACTTTCATGCCCGTTGTGTTTTGAAGTTTAGAAGATAAATAAATAAATATGAGACAATGTGAGCAACGAAAAAATGATATAACGACAAGCCGCATAAAACCGGTCGGTGGTGGAACGCGGAGATGGGTAACACCCGCACATATTCAACTGTCTGAATTGGGCTTCTTTACTGCATAATACGAGTAGTTAACATATTCACAACAAGATTTCACCAATGTAAGAGAAGGGCCCAGGTTCATTCCTTTATAACTTCTCCTGCAAGCAACCAGAGAGATTGCCTAAAGAGTTTACACAATTGATTACGCACATGAATTGTTTGAAACAAATCTCCCTATTTTATCCCCTTCGATCTGGCTTCTCTGTCCATATCTACACCTTCGCGTTTAAATTTTCAAAAACATAAATAAAGAAAAGCACAGAAAATAACTTTCTAAATTGAATAAACTACTTGTGAATCTAGAAATTCCTAAAACAGAGCAACTACAGAGTGGAGTATACAAGCCCTCGATTCTTGGACAGCAAGTTATTATCCTCCACTAGTCCTCTTTCAAAGAACTAACATAGCTGGATTCTCTGAAGAGGTAATTACAGAGACACTGAGACAAACAGAGACAAAATAAGGACAGATGAGCTCAAGACAAAAAAAACATAGCTTTTCGTGGCTTTGTACATGAATTGTTATTGGATCAATGGTAGAGATTTACTTCTTTGTACCAGTAACTAAACAAACAATCCCTAATCCTAAGCTAAATCATCCTAAGTCTTAGATATAATAAGCTTACCTTTATACAGTGGTTCTAAGGGTTATTCCAGGACCAGAAACAGAGTTACCATTCAAGAAGATTCAGTCCCAGATATAGGTGAAGACAACTCGGAACCAACATAAAGATCTCTCTCTCTAAAGCCGATTTGACGAAACAGTTGACGAACTTCAAAGCATCTCAAGCACTCAACTTCATACACAACCTTTATCCCAAACGCAAGAAGAAGTTGTTTGTCTTGTGTAGTTATGATCACTAGGCTACCTGGACCAAAACAGTTAAAATCTTCTGAAAGAGCATCTAACTGTTCGAGTTTGTCGACATTGTTAGCCACAAGTAGTACATTCTGACTCATGAGCCTTGTTTTGATCAACCCTGAGGTCTTCATCTTCGAGTAACCTCCTTGAATCCTGATAAGAAACTCGTCTCTTAGATTGGACATTTGACAATCGTGAGGAATCCCTTTGACGTTTTCGAGAAAACAATGACTTTGGAATTTCTTAAAGATCTTTTGATAAACATATCTAGCTAGAGCTGATCTTCCATTACCTCCTCTTGCCCAAATTCCAATCACTCTCACACCTTCATTAGAAGTCAATTCTAACAATGGATACAACTCTTTCATGTGTGCATCAAATCCAAATTGGTTATTGATGCTATCACTTGGTGGTGTTGCAGAGAATAACAACATGTCAGAAATTCTCTTGGTAATCTCGTCGAGTAGCTTTGAGTCATCTTCCCTAAAACAGAGGAAAAAACGAATTGATTCAACAAAATCACCTTAGGATTCAAATTCTGGTAATCATATCAAGTTATGAAAGTACCAATCACGAGAACAATGGCCGGAGATGCTGGCCAAATTGGTCAGAGCTTGTCTCCATGATACCACAGTCTCATAATCTTCCCTCATTTCATGTTTCCTAAACTGTTCAGCGACCTTTTCGATTTGTCGCCTCACATGAGCAGGCTCGACGTTGTAAAAGATAGGCATAACGGTGAGGGAACCCTTCTTTTCGACATCCATTATCATAACTAGCTCTTGAAGACACCAGGGAGACGCAGCATAATTCTTTGAGACAATCACAACGGCGATTTTGGAATTTTCGATTGCCATGAGGAGATCTGAAGCAATCCGACGGCCACTCTTGAGTTCGACGTCGTCTTTGAAAGTTCGAATACTCATTCCAATGAGTTCTTTGTAAAGAAAGCTGATGAAGGTCCTGCGAGTGTCCTTGCCTCTGAAACTCAGAAAGACATCGAACTTTTGTGGAGTAGTTGAAGAAGAAGACGATGAATACATTGGGTTGAATCAAAATTAAACATCGGTTTTTTTACTTTCAAACTTTGGAAGATGATGATAGATGGCTTGAAGATCGCAATTTATCGAAAAGAAGAGAAGTAAAATTTCCAAGAAAATGTTGAGAATTTACCAAGAAAAGGTTTTGAAAAGTCATGAAACTGAAAGGGTCCAAAGAATAACATCTACATAACGCTTATTCGATCAATATTCGAATTGGCGATCTACGTGTTAATGCTTTGATGATCAGTCATCAGATGATGTAACTCCAATTCTATTTCTATAAAATCTTAATATATACTAGTATATATATATCACCATTGAGACTTTTTCTTATATATAATAAACGTGCAATCCTAGAGTACTGCACAGAATAAATTAAACGGTCGGTGATGGTTGAATAGTTTTGATGCTGAGCAAACGGAAAAACTGTGGTCAGGTCTACGTACGTAAAGAGATATTACTATTTATTCTTTATTATGAGTTGTCATTGGTAACGTGGACGACCTAAAAACATTCGAAGTGACATAAGGATTGCATGTTTCATCATGAGGTCATAACGGAATTAACTTATGCAGACAGTTTTAACCTCGAAAAATGCCAAAGATTTGAGTTAAGACGATAAATGCATCGTGATGATTGGTTTATGAAAGGTATAGAGGGTAACACACAATATGAGTTTTTGTAGGAAAACGCTAAATCCAATGCTTGTATACTTAATTTTATTGATAAAATAATTTTGAACAAAGATCTACTTATTTCGGCTATTACTTAGTCTCTACTATTCCATATGTTGTTGTAGTGAATATTTAGTAAATCACTACAACAACCCAAATCTTCAAACGTTTTGCCAAGTCCGCTCCCGCATCTTTAACATGTCACATCACCTTAAGATGAGGGAAGATACTGTTTGCTTGAGCTTTGCCTTGAAAACTGCAAGAGTGTTGAATCATTTTCAGATCAGCTTAGTCATTTCACCAAGTTGACATGTTTAGATCTGAGCAGCCATGATTTTCAGACATTGCCACCAAGCATCATAGATCTTAACCTCATTGGTGACACTTTGCCTCAATAACTGCAAGAAACTCAAATCAGTGGAAAGAATCCCCCCGTCTCTCCAATTTCTCGATGCACACGGCTGTGATTCCCTCGAAGCTGGTTGTGTAGAACATTTTAAGGACATACCAAACAAAGAGGTGAATACAAATGGGATCTGTCTCTTCTATGATTGATGTAGTCCCCTTTTTCATCATCTCCTTTATTTTGTAGGTGCAGCCGCAAAATGACTACTTCCAAGAAACCGAGATGCCGAGTTATGTACTGAAAAACGAAGCCACAAGAAGTCGATTTCCCAAGATCACACCCTCGCTCATGTTTCTAGGCATCCCTCTATGCATCACGCTACTGGCTGTTCTTGTGATTTTGCTCTTGCGTGTTTTCAAGTGAAACTCAAGACTCAAACCAGAAATGTTTCAATCACCGGTCACCAACAGCATCCTCAAGCTCATGTAGTTTACCAGGTAGTAACAGACTTACTACATTTCAAGCCTCCCTTGGCCTCTGTTTCTCTCCCTCTTCCTCTCACATCACAGTTTGGAACTGAGCCACTGTAATCAAAAAAAGAAAGCTTCAAGATGTTGTCCATAACACAAAGAGTAGGCAGACTTGGGGAATTAACAAGTGAAACTTTTTGTGTAGTTTTTCTTTACAAAGTGGATAGGCAGATAACTAGATAAGTGTGTTTAAAACTTTGTAAAGTGAACAATAATAAGTCAACAAGATTAGAAAACTAATTTAATAAATTGAAGTTAATTAAGCATTAGAGATACTAAATGAAGGTGGTGGTGCTGCTAATAATGGAGCTGGTGATTTTGTTGGAAAGGTAAAGAATTGAGAGAGAAAATTGTGAGAGACGGAAACGAAGCATCACAAGACTTATACACACACACACAGACACTGTTGGGGTATCTATCTGAGAGAATAAGCAAAAGAGAAAACAGATTTTACTTGTTTTGATGATGTAGAAAGGCATACTGAGTTACGGTTCTCCATCTCTTCCTTGAATCCGTAAGATCTCTCTCTATCTCCTTCTCTTTGAATTGTAGTTTCTGACTCCGTCACTTCTTCGATATTTTTTTTTGGGTCTAATTAAGTGATGACTGGTGCTGATTCGAAAAATTCTGGAAAATTCTACCAAAGTCAACGGCTTTTAGGACGAAGAAAGTAATAATGGTGGCGCGGGTTTTAGTTTGGTCGGAACTTTACTTTTTCCGGCATATCTGTCGCGCTCTTCTAATTGTTTGTTTCCCCACAAATAGTTGTGAATTAGGGTTAGTTTCCTTATCATTTGATATTTTGCTCTGTTTCTGGATTTTTCCCCTTTTGGATTATCCCCTTCTTCAAAGGGTTTTGCTGTTCCAGGAATAAATATATGTCTTTTGAAAGTGTTATCCATCTATATAAATTTCCTGAATTTGGAGCTTCTTTAACCGACACATGTATCAATTTTCGTGTTGAAGCAGAGAGAGCTAATTGTTTGCCTCTGAGTCACATGGAAAAGAAAGATTCTTTCACTAGCTCTGCGGCACATTCAACTCCATCATTCCTTAACACTTCCATCTCATGGGGACTTTCAACCGAATCGAATGTCGGCGGTTCTGCTGTGACTCAATCACTGATGATGAGTTTGAAGGTAGATGCAAGACCAGAACGTCTTTTAAACACAAAGAATATCAGTTTCCAGTACCAGGATTCATCTTCAACTCTGTCCACTGGTCAATCTTCTACCCATGTTGCTACTAGTGGAGATGATGACCCCTCCAGACATATCTCATTTTCACCACATTCAGGTCTGTTTTAAAGAAATTTGGCTTCTAGTCCAGAACATGTGTTGAAAAGACAACACCATATGATTAAGACGCATAATGTTTAGATTCTTCTTTGGTATATCTTTTGTTCCCTTTGTCCTGAATATATTATCTTTCTCTCTCTTTTATTCAGATGTTTGTAAAGGATTTGAAGAAACTCAAAGGAAGCAATTTGCAAATAATATTAAATCAGGCTCCTCCACGGCAGGAATCGCTGATATTCACTTTTCTCCTTCCAAGTTACTTGTGATTGTTGACTGACATCTTGTGTTATACTCTGGTTTCAGGCTAACTTCTCATTTCACTATGCCGATCCACATTTTGGTGGTTTAATGCCTGCGGGTTACCTACCACAGGCAACAGTAAGTACATCCTCCTTGATTACATGTGGTGAAGAGGCTTTTATTCTAAACCTCTATTTGCTTAAGGTGAACTTGCAATGTAACATTATGCTCTGAAGCAGTTACATACAGCGATAGAAAGAAATGCCATCCTTAAATGATGGATTTGTCTTGCAGTTTATTTCTCCATTTGAGATTTCAGTTTGTTTAAAAACTTTCTGCAGATATGGAATCCCCAAATGGTGAGTCGAGTTCCGCTACCATTCGACCTCATAGAAAGTGAGCCTGTCTTTGTCAATGCAAAGCAATTCCATGCAATTATGAGGAGGAGGCAACAACGTGCAAAGCTAGAGGCGCAAAACAAATTAATCAGAGCCCGTAAGGTATAGTATCTCGGTCAGCGTTTCAGTATCTCATTTTGGTTTAATAACTAAACAGAAATCATCATCAAATATCATACAGCCGTATCTTCATGAATCTCGACATGTTCACGCTCTTAAACGACCTAGAGGATCTGGTGGAAGATTCCTAAACACCAAAAAGCTTCAAGAATCTACAGACCCAAAACAAGACATGTCAATCCAACAGCAACACGCAAAGGGAAACATGTCAAGATTCGTGGCTCACCAGCTGCAGACCAGCAAGGACCGTGGTTGTTCAACCACTTCTGGCTCTGACATCACCTCTACTTCTGACGGCGTTGATCTCTTTGGACACTCGGAATTTCAGATATCAGATCACCCATCTCAGACAAACCCAACAATGTATGTTCATGGTCAATCAAATGACATGCATGGAGGTGGGAACACTCATCATTTCTCTGTCCATATCTGAGACAGTGGAATTTGGTGATGTGTATGTTCCCACAAAAAAAGGGAAGTCATCCTTGGCTGCTACCTCGCTACTTCGCTAGTTCTTATTTCACACGCTTTGTCCAGATATCATTTGAATGACCAAAACCTTCAAGCTTCAACTCTTTACTTCTCGTCTGTCATTTGTACCATGGATCATCGTGTGTTAAGTCAGTGATTGGATTGGAGTGTTAAATGTAAATGTAAATGTAAATCTGATAACTGATAAGTTTCTGCTCTTTGCTTATTCATAGTTAGTAAACCTAAACCAGATTCATACACAGCATTACAGTGTTGCATATATCATTCCGGTCAGAGGGCCAGTTAAAGGTTATAAACCGACTAAGAAATTCTTATTTATAAACAATTGGATTTTGTTGCCTTACTTACATAACCAGAAACCAGAGAAAGAAGAAGAAACCACCTTGAGACATACTTACAGATTCTCCATAATATCGATTGTTTGTTGTCAGTTGTCACTATGATTTAGAGTACGACATGTCATGGTTCTTTGCAGAAAGACGCTTCAAGAACTCCTAAGTAGTGATCGTAGTTGTAGCAGACATCGACATAGAAGGGCATCTTGGTCCCAATCCTCTGTAACAAGCCATCCAACCACCTTCCCTGACCAAGTTTCTAACTGTCTGTCGAATAGTCGGACTGCACTTCCTATTGTTACTACTACTATTACTATCTTCCCCATCTAGAACCTGCAGTCTAGTCTTGATTGTGTCAAGTGGCATGGTAATCAAAGTGGAGACACTACCTCTACCAGCAATGGCGGCACTAACCCCTTGAAAAGCCATTATCGTTTTGGAGTCCGGTTTAATCACACTATTGTTCCCATTCTCGTTGTTGGCTTGCAAACATAACACCAAGCTCCCTCTAAATCATTCGTTGTGCAACAGAGTAGGAAGCCCACCAGAGCGCATTAAGACTGGGCATAAGTCAAAATAGATATCCCAAATCCTCTGTACAGTCCCTTTGGTCCATCAGCAGAAATGACCTTTCTAAATGCATCAAACGCATTAATATATTTACATCTCGATGCATTGACCAAACTCCTGCTTCCTTGAACCATAAGCCTCTGGCTCACCACATCAACAGGCGTCCAAACAAGCGGTCAAACCCCCAACCACATGAGAAATTGCAGCAGCCTTAGCCTCTGTAAACCTAAAGTTAACCGCTGCAGCGCCTATTAGTAACCTCTAATGCAGTCATGACCACATTTTACTTGGATAAAATGACGTGGCTTCTAGCAGTATAAACAGTCACGTGATCAAATAGCAAAATCAGCCTAATGAACAGCAACTCAAATATGTTTCCAAATGCGCAGAAACATTACTAATATAATTTAAAAAATGATAAACAAAGGAAAATTCATTAAGCAAATGGGCTCTTAAAGCATGGCCACAACAAATATTTAGTTCACAAATATAGTTTTCCTACCCAATATACCCCTATTAATAGTAGAATAGTACCAGAAAGCCACTGGCAAAGATAGGCCTATGTACTATAATGTACAGGCTTTGTTTTTTAAAGCACAATACTGATCCCCTAATCTGAAAATGTCCTAGAGATCGATCGGGTAAAGGAAATTTTGATTACTTCTGTCTCAAACTTCAATCTGACCTTTCCAACAAGAACATGAAGTTGGAGTTTTGGCGAATCAACGGAGGAGGATCAACCTCTGCAACCTCTACGTTGTGCATCGATTTCGAGATATCGTCAAGCGAAAATGGGATGCTGCAAAAAACAATCACCAAGACCCGTAATTTTTATCAAAAGATCAATCTTCTACAGTGATTTGTTTTGTTATGTTTTTTTCCTTTCTTTCAGGGGTTTACCTCGAATCGTCATCTAGTAAAAATGAATTGCTGATCGCGTTATTTGATACATCTGACACCTCGGCCCGCATGGTTGCTATCACCTGCATCACCATTCTTGTGTCAAGCGATTTTTTAAAAGAACATATCTATTTCAATTTCAGATTTTTAAGTCAAAATAATGTTGGATTTTCTTAAAACATGGCTCAGGATAAGACTAATGTTAACGGTTTGCTCGAGCGGGTCCATCAATCACATGAAAGTTAAAGCAAGAGTAGAAAATATTCACTTGCCTGTGAAGATACGCTATGTGTACCGTATTTGTCGTCCCAATACATTGTACTGATCCTGTACAGTTGCTGAATGCTAAGCACCTGCAGAGAAATAAGAAATTTCGTCAGATTTACATGAGACGAACAAATGAAGAGACAAATTCAAAATATAATTTGAACTAACCGGACAAAGTTCGGTAGTTATCTCTTTTAAGCTCTTCTTAGGTTTCTGATGTATAACCAAGAAACCAACAGCTTGTCTGATGTGCTTTAGTTCATCCCAAGCCGAACCAACAAACTAGAACACAACAGAAATGCATCTTTAATAAGCTAACTGTCCGAAAACTCCAGAGAGGGATTTGAAACATCTATTACCTCCTCCGTTGCATCATGGCACCACTTTTCCAGCTCAGCAAGCCCTGTTTTTACATACTCTCCATTGCTAAACGAGCAGCATTCACGTCTTAAAAGAAGGCTACACGATTGATTCAACGGGAAAAACATAAGTAGATATGTATTATATAGCGACATGATAGTTGCAACTATAGCAGATTTACCTGTTAAACAGCTGAACATTGATAAATGAAAATATCTGCCCGAACACTTTAGAAATTAGCAACGAAGGCACCTGCAGTTTTGGATCGGTTCAATGTTTGTGAGAAAAAAGACAAAAGAAGTTGAAAACAAACACATTTCAGCTGTGGCTGACTTTTTTATTTATTTCACTCACATAATTGGCCCTCATGGTCTTCAAGTGGCCGTTTAGACAAGTAACAATGCTTTGCCAATGAGCAATTATTGGTTTTGGAGCAACAACATTATTTTGTGTATTTTGTGAACGTCCCTTTACTAAACCAGACCGTGGTGTCCTTGGAACCTGTTTCCATCAAACCACAAAACCAGAACCAGACTCAGGGGGTTTAATACACAATAATATAACAAAGATTCTTTTCTGTGGAACAAAAGGCAATTAAAAAGAATGCCTACCTGAATGCAAGAAGCAAGCAGAGGGGAAATCTCTTTCTTCATCTTGTCTCGGATCATTCCATATATCTTTTCTAGGAAAGCTGTGAGTTGCTGTTTGAAAAGCAAAGCAGGATATTTAGCTTCAACTTGACGTAGTTCGTCTAGCCCACCACCAATCGCCCTTCCAGTCATAAATGGGAATCCAGCACTTTGTGGAGAACCTCGGAAACTCTATTATACAAGTAATTTCATGAGAAAAGTGAGATTAATGGAATCAAAGCATTTTTTAGAGACACGTAAACACTTCTAACCACCTGAGATACCCGTCCAAACAAAGATGTAGGCATTCCCCGACGTCTGGGAGTAGTTATGCTTCCTGTAGCACCGGCTTTCAGAGTGCGTTGAAGAAACATTAATAATGTGGCGGAATTGGATAACCAATAGCACAGTACATCGCTGTTTTCCTGCATCTGCAAAGATGTAAATTTAGCGTGAGACCACCCATGAAGCAGGAAAGAACATTTGTGTTGGTATGAAAGAACATCAAAACTACCTCGATGGCAGATGCTATTGTCTCGATTATACGATTAAATATACTGGTTCTTTCTACTTCAAAAGACCTCCAGTGTATCAGACACTTGTATATCAGACAGGCAGCAACAGGCTTGCCATCAGAAAATCCTATATCTTCCGAAATAGACTTTAGTAACAGCTCTTGATTTTCCTACAAGATGGAAAACCGCACATAATGAGTATGCAAAATGCATACTGACAAAAACAGAACATCTTATCCCCGCAAATGAAATATGTGACAAGGATTCAAAGTGGTAGCTACCTGCTGTTTCTGATTAAGCGATTTTTGGGGCCTATCCTCAGTTTCAGGTTCCTGGAGCATATCATTAAATATTAGATCTCCATCAATGTAAATGGTAATTACACAAGGGGCTTATTTTGTTTATCAACATACCTGAAGCTGTATTGTTTCTCCATTGGAGAAAGTATCCTTCTCGGGAGTTCTCTGAAATTCCAAGGAAATATCAAAAAGGACATATGCACGGTTAAGAAGTTTAATGCAAAGACATAGCTGGTGTCCACCAGTACCTGGATTATGGTAGTTTTTGGTCTTAGGGCCAAAGCTCTAGTAGTCGGTGAGATGGTAAGAGTTTGTTGCCGGAGTACTTTATTCTCCGACTCCAAGTTAAAGACCTTTTCTTGGAATCTAATATATAGGAAGGGGAAATCTTTCGTTAGTCTTCTTATTTTAGAGAAAAAATGGGCCTAAGGCAATATCTGATACTAGTTAAACCTCTAAATGCATGACCTGAGAACGTAAAAGCTTATTAACAAGGGGAAAATATTTGTATAAAGAAAGATAAAAGTCTCATATGGAGAAACAAATGAAAACAAACCTCTGAACAGAATCTTGAAGCTGATCTATTTTTCTTCCAGCTTCTTCAAGTTTCTTACTTAATTCCTCATTTTGGACCAAGGCACTACGATAAGCCTGTTTTGCTTCATCTGCCTTATGTGTTTCTGATGACAACAGTCCCTGCATTAGGACCATGTCGAGATAGTAGATCAGTGGCACGAACAATGAAATAATGGAGGCTTTTACATAAAGCATTTTCTTTTTGAAATCCAGAAACAGAAAGAATCCTCATTATTAAATTTACACAGCTGCATTTATGGTGCAGAAACAATCACATCTTGAAGCTATTTGGAGATTAAATATGTCAGTTTTTACCTTTAGCCTGTCAATTTCGTTGCTCAAAGAATCGATCTTCTCTGTATCTTCAACAACAATAGGTTCCTTATTAACTGAACATGCTTCTTCACTTGCTACTCGAGCCGCCTCCTGTTCCTTTACGACCATTGCAGTAGTCTCTTTCAATTGTAACCGGATGGTATGCAATGCCTCTTTCAGCTTTGCAACTTCTTGCACCTTTGCCTCCTCAAGATCAGTCTGTTTATCAGTAAAAAGATAACAATATAATCCATAATTTGCAACTGACTTTGCAGACCACAATCTGTAAATTGGTTTAACCTAAAGGTATTTCCAAAAGAAAATTGACATCTCAGTTACCCTTAACCGCTTCTCTAATTGCAAACGCCAGGTAAGCTCTTCTACCCGCTTCTCCAATTTATTCTTAGCATCTGTAAGAGCACCGGTTTCTCTTGCAGCCTAATTCAATGTACATATGGAAGTAAACAG